TGCTCCCCTTCTGTAATTGTTAGGCACATTTTCAAATTTGTTTCACTTAAACTTTTTTAGTTATTTCAAAAAAACATTTCCTGCTGGGGTAACGTTTGAAACGTTACCGCAGCCAGACATTTTCTTTTTTAATTGTAATATTGAAATAAATTTTAGCTAAATAATTAGTTATCTGGACTAGGTAAATGTTACAACTTATTTGGTATTTGTATTTTCTTCGGCTGCGAAGTTATTCGAAATCCTGCTGGAGTAACGTTTGTGGGTTTGCTGGATCTCTGAAACGGGTAAGCGGATTGTAACCATCTTTTGTAGATAACTTCTTAAGGATTAGTTTTAATTTGTTCGACAATAAAATCACAAAAATAATGGACCGTTTAAAAATTATTTAGGTAAGTATGAAAACACTTCAATACGTCCTAACACTTTAAATAAGACCTCTAAAGACTTACTTCAAACGTTATTCTATTGCTTGAAACTACCTTCAAATGTATACGAATTTTCGTAAGAATACTATAAGTGACTAAAAAGTTGTGATAAAATGTAGCTCTCCACGTTGTGTGCGTTACCCCAGCAAAATAATGTCGAAAATGGTCATTTAAACTTTATAGATAATTAGTTGCTCCCCTTCTGTAATTGTTAAGCACATTTTTAAATTTGTTTCACTTAAACTTTTTTAGTTATTTCAAAAAAACATTTCCTGCTGGAGTAACGTTTGAAACGTTACCGCAGCCAGACATTTTCTTTTTTAATTGTAATATTGAAATAAATTTTAGCTAAATAATTAGTTATCTGGACTAGGTAAATGTTACATCTTATTTGGTATTTGTATTTTCTTCGGCTGCGAAGTTATTCGAAATCCTGCTGGAGTAACGTTTGTGGGTTTGCTGGATCTCTGAAACGGGTAAGCGGATTGTAACCATCTTTTGTACATAACTTTTTAGGGATTAGTTTTAATTTGTTCGACAATAAAATAACAAAAATAATGGACCGTTTAAAAATTATTTAGGTAAGTATGAAAACACTTCAATACGTCCTAACACTTTAAATAAGACCTCTAAAGACTTACTTAAAACGTTATTCTATTGCTTGTAACTACCTTCAAATGTATACGAATTTTCGTAAGAATACTGTAAGTGACTAAAAAGTTATGATGAAATGTAGCTCTCCACGTTCACGATCACAATGTGTGCGGCCTTTTTTGGCCACCGATAAACCTGTGTGTGGATATATAAACTGAATGTTATGCCAACAATTAGTTGTTTAGTTCAGTTGTCTACCTGTAAAATTTCAGCGTAGTACATATAATAATTTACGAGATAATTTAATAAAAGTCATTAGAAGGTGCAAGACCGTGGTAACCCGACCATGTTTAGGTGGTTACAAAAAAGCGATCACCCAGTACATTGTGCTGGCTTTTAAAATATGTAGGATATTATTTGCAAGTTTACTACGGATATGTACATAAGTGTTACAAAAAACTACATGTTTTTAAATATTTTTTATTTAGGATTGTTTATTGCATAATTAGTAATCAGCCGGGAGATTAGGTATTGTTTTGAATGCTTTTGTTTTCTCGTAATGTTTAGGTGAATTGTTTATAGTTGTTCATAGAATTGGTACCTGCGTAGTATTTGTTAATTGAAGTTTAATTTTAGGGTAGGTATAGGTAATTTAAGAAATATGAAATGAAATGATAAGTTTTGAAGAGTGTAAACGTATACGTTGTAAATAGGTATTTTGTGAATAGATAAGTGATGAATCGACTTAGGCTAGAATATTGCGAACAAACTCTGTATTGCATTATTTCTGTAATAATGTTGAAGAAAATAAAATATTTCATCACAAAATCGCGGTGAGTTAAATTATAATAAAATAAATTATTTATGTAAAATTAGTAATAAGTGATATACCTACCTAAAAGTTATGATCGGTTTTAATTTGTTCACCCTGAACGAAATTACAATATTAGCATTAGTAATTAATATCCTAAGACAAGAATTGACAATTACTTAAATTGAATCGAATTAGCATTAATGCCTATTATTAGTAATTAGGTACACACATATTGAAGAACTCTCAAGAATACGATAAATATTTGCAAAATTAGAAAGCGGAAGCGCACACGTACTTTACAACACGTATATTATCTGCCTAAGGGTCAAGTTTAGTGCACTAGATGCAAATTGCAAACAATAAAATATCCCTTCGCCCCTCCCCTCCCGCGTTCTAGCGAAGGATGTATTATCAGCGATTCTTGATTGACAAATATTATATGACCAGTAATTTTATCTATAAAAATGTATCACTGTCACTCGATAAATTAAATTACCGTTATTATATCAAAATATCATTCAACAACTGTTCGTTTTTAACAGAAATCAACAGTCACGGGCTCAACGCTTAACGGTAGGTACATAGGTATAGATAATTCTCGGTTCTAGGTATAGACCACAGAACAATATTACCTACTCTTACGAGGTATACGACTGTTGGGCGATGCAATGTTGATGCATTCTAATTTACAACTGTATTCTTCTACTATTCGGTCTATTTTAACTTATTGTAGATGACTTGTTGCTTTAAATATTTTGATGCATTCAAGTCTAAGCTCTATACACCCCAAAATAAAATACAATTACTTTAGTGTTATTTCTTTACGAAAAAAATCAAAGAAATGAAACGATTTCTTATTGGTTTAAATTTTCGTTTTATTGCAGTCAGGTGAATCGTTCATACATGTATCTACATATTTATAATTTGAGCGGACCAGTGCAGATTTTCTGTTGATTGTAGCTCCGGTAGTAAAAAAAGACTAAATAAATTTTAAGTAAAGAAACTAGTGCTTAAGATCAATTAGGGAAAAAAACAAAATAAATAATAGGTAATAATAATGAATAAATATTGAATGTATTTAACACTGTACGCAACTGTACCGAAATCGTAAGGTGTATTACACAAAACATTTTAAAAGACAGCGCAATGTACTGGGTGATCGCTTTTTTGTAACCACCTAAACATGGTCGGGTTACCACGGTCTTGCACCTTCAAATGACTTTTATTTAATTATCTCGTAAATTATTATATGTACTACGCTGAAATTTTACAGGTAGACAACTGAACTAAACAACTAATTATTGGCATAACATTCAGTTTATATATCCACACACAGGTTTATCGGTGGCCAAAAAAGGCCGCACATTGTGATCGTGAACGTGGAGAGCTACATTTCATCATAACTTTTTAGTCACTAACAGTATTGTTACGAAAATTCGTATACATTTGAAGGTAGTTACAAGCAATAGAATAACGTTTGAAGTAAGTCTTTAGAGGTGTTATTTAAAGTGTTAGGACGTATTGAAGTGTTTTCATACTTACCTAAATAATTTTTAAACGGTCCATTATTTTTGTGATTTTATTGTCGAACAAATTAAAACTAATCCTTAAGAAGTTATGTACAAAAGATGGTTACAATCCGCTTACCCGTTTCAGAGATCCAGCAAACCCACAAACGTTACTCCAGCAGGATTTCGAATAACTTCGCAGCGGAAGAAAATACAAATACCAAATAAGTTGTAACATTTACCTAGTCCAGATAACTAATTATTTAGCTAAAATTTATTTCAATATTACAATTAAAAAAGAAAATGTCTGGCTGCGGTAACGTTTCAAACGTTACCCCAGCAGGAAATGTTTTTTTGAAATAACTAAAAAAGTTTAAGTGAAACAAATTTAAAAATGTGCCTAACAATTACAGAAGGGGAGCAACTAATTATCTATAAAGTTTAAATGACCATTTTCGACATTATTTTGCTGGGGTAACGCACACATTTAACAAATATCTTTTGTTAAAAAGTTATGAGTAATTCAATGCTTTAAATTTGATGAACTGAGTGATCCTTGTGAATACTTATAGGGAACTACCTGTTTCGTATTGATTTACATAAACAAAGACTTATTTTGGTACAATTTTGTGACTTTTTTATGTTAGGGGGCAGACGAGCAGATGGGTCACCTGATGGAAAGTGACTATCGCCGCTCATGAACGTCTAAAACTCAGGAGATGTTTACTTTCAAATGTCTAATGTTTTCACAGTTCAATACTGGTTACACTTTCTTCGACGTGTGGTACCTAATGAGGTTTGCTTCTCTAGTTGTTTAACTCAATGGGTGCCTACCGATCTACGATATTTACCATGCATAACTGTTTTGTTCTTAAAAGTTTGTTTAAACGCCATCTATTGACTTCTTGCTGGGTTTAATAGATCGATGATGATAATAAAATTAAATTATCAATTCAATCGACTGCCGTCTTATTTGTTTAATCGGTTATAAAGAGTTAAACGTAGGAGCAATTATTTTTAGTAAAATATATCAATTTAGACTTGACGGTGCTGGAATCGCATTCCCAGAATGCCATTCATTACGGTTCAAGTTCAAACTTACATTAATATAATTCCTGAAGTAGCTTTCTTGAATAACAATGGAGTACAATCAAGGCTGTTTGATAGATACAAAAAAATACCGGTTATGAGGTTATGGACGCCGTTTAATGTTGAATTATGTGAAATTCATGGAAGGTAAGAATAGTGTTATTGTTTTTGGGTGGCGATAGTCACTTTCCATCAGGTGACCCGTCTGCTCGGCTGCCCCCTCTAACATAAAAAAAAAGAAAGGTCAGTGTCGGTATTGTAGGTACATAATACTCAATCATAATAATATGTCATAATACTCTATAATAGTTCACTGATAATAATAACTTAGATACAAGATTTTTATTACTTAATCAAAGTGTTTATATTTTCTTTAGGCTTTCTTATTAGTTCTCGTGATTTATTTTTAAGAAACACATATCAGTACCTTTATTCATAAATGCTCTCTTAGCCTACCCTATAGCTGTCAATGTCATCTCAATGACATAAAAATCAAAACAATCAATCTGGTTTCATTTTCTACAAAACAAAATTGAAAGTAACTAAAATGGCATGAAAAAACAATAAAAAATGTCTACCCGTACTTCGAAAGTTTCAGTCAGCTCAGCAACCCGTGTTGCTTCCAAAACCGCTTCAAAGGGCGCAAGCAGCATCAATACCAAAACGGTACCTGATGATGAAAAGGATGCAGCTTACTATGTTACCCCAGAATTTATATATGGGGGGCCATTCATTCCTGTTAAAAAACCTTCTCCATTTATAGATTCAATCACACCAATGAATGTACCTTTACAAGGAACGTTTACAAGGTAGGTCAGACATTCTTTTTTTTCTGTATTCATAGATACTTGGTTGAATTAAAAAAAAACTTACCACCTTGTTTTCATTGCCTGCTGAATGTTTTCATTAGCGATCATAAATAAAAAAAAACATCATTTTTATTTTGTCTATATTTGTTACCTTAGTGGAAGAGGAAATTATTTTAAATGAATTAGCAATAATTATTAATGTACTGCAAATATTTAAATCATGATTGATGTTTCATAAACTTCATACACCTACTTAATAAATAATAGTTACATTATACAAGCATTTGGGCATTTTGCTCACCGCATAGCCCTTACCTGAGACAATTTACTCTTCTCAATTATTTTTTTTAATATATATATTTTTAATCCATAATCTTGTTCTACCTCATTGCCTTTATGTATCTATATTACTCTATAAAACCTATGGCATTTGTTCTGTATATTCTACAACCCGTCTACATCCAATTTATTTATTTTTCTATTTATAGCTAAACACTTATTCGGTTGTTTATCACATTTGATATCTGTAAATCACTAATGGAAATAACTTAAGTTATTGCCGAGGTTGTTAGCTTTTTTAATGAGTGCTTAAATTAATATAAATTCACTTCATTTATTTATTCATAGAAGAGAAAAACAGAGAGTAATAGACATTCTCTGTTTTTCTCTTCTATGAATATGAAAGATAAAAGGGTATATAGTGCTGTAATTGTTAATACAAGCATGTAGTCAATCTGTGCCTAAATAACCATTAATATTTGAAGACTAAAAAACCTACATTTTCAATAGTTAAAAGTAAGCCTTAAATAAAAACAAAGATACCTAATAAATGTTATGATAACCAGAATACAGATAATAAAAAAAAACTTAGTTACAAATACATAAAAATATAAATTAAATTGACATTGATTATGTGTTTGAACAGAATAAATTTGAAGTAGTATTTTAAGGTTATCCGGGACTACCTATGAGGCAATAAAAAGAAAAGTACCAATTTCAAAATTAAATTTAATGTTCAATAAGACAGCACATACATTTAAGCTGATTTTGCATCATTATTTCTACAGGTTGTGATGGGTATCCAGTATATATAGTCTCTCACTCTCGTGTTTAGGATTATACCATTATGATTTCGATATTAAAATTTGCCATTAACCAGTACAATGAGTGGTTTTCGTAATTTAAAATGTTTTTTTATTTTAAATTTAATTCACAATAGTAACTTACATTTTGATTATCACGATTCGGCTAGGTCGAAATCGTAGTCTTTTAATAGAATATTTATTTTTAGCATTGTCTACTAAACAACTGTTTATGACTAATAGTAGTAGTGTAAAATATTACAATTTCATGCAGCATCTAATCAGTAATTTCATTAGAACTCTCGTAGCCCGGATAGCTCAGTCGGTAGAGCATTGGACTTTTAATCCAAGGGTCCAGGGTTCAAGTCCCTGTTCGGGCGGCTGTCTTTTTGGTTTTCTTTTGTTATTTTTTTTACGATTTTTAGTTTATTTACATAATTTTAATTATAATTTATCAATTTTCTTTCTATATTTAACCACTTAAAACAAAGGATCATCTTAAAAACGATTCATCAATAATAATCAGGATATTATTTTTAATTTATTTAAACATAATATATTTATATGGTTCTCATAAAAAAACAATCAAAACTAGGGTGGCAAAATAGCTTTTAAAGTTTCAAACAAACATCGCTGTCGCTTGTATTTTAAATAAATTTGTACGTAACGTAATACCTACTATTTATTTTAGGAGTTTCGCATATATTTCTCTGAAGGACAAACTGCCCATTATAATAACGCAAGTCATAGACGATTTGTCAAAAAAAGGTGTAAGTAACTTTTTCAAATTATTTAATTAATATTATCCCCGACTATTTTGTCGCAGCTTTAACATGAAAATACATAAAGTAGTTACAATGTACAAGAAATATAATAAAATAGAGCCAGCGCAGACCATGAGGAGAGCGGAGAGATCTTTATTAAGACACGTGATAATAAACTTACACAGCTGTACTGAGGTCTCGGGTTCGATTCCCGGGTCGGACCAAATCTTTGTATGTTCTTCAAGTATTTGTTTCGGAGTTTGGGTGCTTCTATGTATATTATGTATGTATTTACAAAAAAAAAGTACATAAGTATTCTATCAGTCAATCTAGCTTTCATAGTACAAGCTCTGCTCAGTTTGAAACTAGATGGCGTTATGTGTCAGATGTCTAAAATATTATTATTAATTTATTTAAATGAATATCAAAGATGCAACTCTATTTTGCATCCATTTTCATGAATTCTGCATTGATTCTCTAGTGTTCCTTAGTACTCGATGGATTATTCAACCGCTGTCTTCCTTATTGTAAACTTGAAGAACGGAAATATAATACCCGAGCGAGTACTCTACTCCACTGTACCCTAGAGAGTACTCAACTGTACCCGAACGACTACTATACTGTACAGCACTAGCGAGTACCAAAGATAATCACTTCTACAATTAGAAATTTTGATAGCTCAGAGATCTAGAACATTCCAAAATTGAATTTTCGTTTTTAGGGTGGGCCTGACGTTCAACAATTTTTGGAAAAGGTGACCAAGATGAAAAATGATTTGATGACGAACAAAGATTACGATCTATTTACAATAGATACTCCTGAAGGGGAAAAGTGGAACACTTGGATTGAGAACCTGGTGAATAAAAAGTATTATAACAATACGTGGCTGTTTACCGAGTGTTATGTCTACAGGAGATTGTATGAAGGATGCGAATTGGCGTGAGTTGATATAATATATTTATTTAATTTGTATTTACCACTTTGTGTAAAGCTAACCAACAGTGAACTAAAAAAGTTTTTTTTAATTAGTAAATTTAAATGTTAAATTTCTCAATTTCAAAATGAGGTTTCTATTTTAAAAATCTGAAATTTGTCAAAACAATTCTTATATCTATGGGATCTATCTATCATTTATTATATGTCTCTGAAATGTGACACTTTGTTAAACTTTTTGTAACATTTTATATATTATGTTAGTTTGCATACTAAAAAACCGACTAAAATACCACGATATTTGTGTAGTGTAACTAAATTGTCTACTATTTTGCTGTGCCATCTAGCGTCGTTCAAAGACGACTTATAATTATTTAGAGTTGAAAATAGTTACGCTTCTAAATAACAGATGGCGTTGTAATAAAATATATGAATATTTTTGAAGTGTCGTTTTGCTTTTTGTATTGGCATCTAAGTAAATACATAATAAAAGACTAATATCATTTTAGAACGCCTGTAGGTATAGAATTAAAAAAACTTAAAGTTGAAATAGTCTTAAATTAATTATAATTTAATAAAATTATTTATGTATGTAAAGAAAACTTAATTGAACAAAGATGTCCCTGCGTGCACGTTTCTTTTTCCACTCCTGTCCCACAGAACCACAAACAGACACTGTTGAAATCACAACAATTCCTTCTTGGCATTCCAAACATTTTACTTTACTAATAAATTTACCGATCCGATGGAGCCATTGAATTAAAAGAAGAAAAAGAAGAACCTTAAGAACGGATGAAGGATGTCAAATGAAGTAATTATTTTTCAGTGACAGTCTTAAATCGTACGACTACTTTGCGGAGAAGAAGAAACAGTCGTTTCATGGCAATTTAAAGCCGATGTGTCGGGCCGCCGAGAAGGTAGTTACCATGTTAAGTGTCAGCGACAAGGACAAACGGAAAGCTGACTTCATGACGCTATTAAAGGTAAAATGTCATTTCCGTTTACTTTGCTGTAGTAAAATGATAGAAAAGTTAACTTGTTATAATTAATAATTGTATTTAGATAAATATAAGTTTATGTTAAAACTAGCTTTGTCCCGCGGCTCCGGTTGCGTGTATGTCGGTTATTGCGATAAAAAGCCTATCCTTCCTCTGGAATCAAACTCCATACCAAATTTATCTAAATCGGTTTAGCGGTTATTGATTTCCCATACAAACTTGTATCCCCCTTTTCACCCCCTTAAAGGATGATTTCTTGTCCTTTCCCGGGACTCGAAACTATCTCTATTCCAAATTTGAACTAAATCGGTTAAGCGGTTAAAACGTGAAGAGGTGACGTCGACGACACGAGAACGACAGACAACCACACTTTCCCATGTATAATATTAGTATGGATGATATGGGTTCGGGTTATTAACATCCAAGGCAACCGATTAAGTACGAAGCTTGATATGCACTGCTTATCAACATTTCATCATCATCATCATCATCATCATCATCATCATCATCATCATCATCAGCAACAGCCTTTACTAGTCCACTGCTGGACATAGGCCTCTCCTTAGAAAGGAAGTTTTGGTCTACTAAACCGAGCTGACCAGACGGTTTAGTAGATGGTTTGTGTCAAGTTTTCCTTCTCTCTTCAGTGCTGTTATTCTGCGTAGTTTGTTCCCTTAGTCGGCTATTACGACACCCACGGGCTGAATAGGGGTGGTGACACTCTGTATTCTTAATCCGTCCCCACACGGACCTATCAACATTGAACAGCCTTTAATAGGTCGCTGCTGGACATAGGCCTCTCCTTAGAAAGGAGGTTTTGGCCTACTATACCACGCTGGCCAGACGGTTTGGTAGATGGTTTGTGTCAAGTTTTCCTTCTCTTTGCAGTGCTGTTGTCCTGCGTAGTTTGTTCCCTTAGTCGGCTCTTACGACACCCGCTGGATGAATAGGGGTGGTGACACTCCGTTCTCTTAATCCGTGACCACACGAACATGTTTTTTTTTTTAATACTAAATTGCTAGGGTCTTTATTGGACGAAATCTGGGTATACTTTAGAGAGAAAGCTTGCATTAATGAAATATTTAAATTAAAAAGGTTGTTGGCGGCTTCCTTCTTATGGTATAACTAGATCTCCTGCAATGTAGGGTCCTCCACGAAGCCACGAGAACAAAAGAGCAAAAAAAGATTATCTCTTGTTTTTCTTCTTGCCTCCAGTTAGCGCTTTGGGCGAACAAATGCGACCTCTCCTTCTCGGTCGGCGCTGAGGTGACCCTGGGAGGGACGGAGGATGAAGAGGACGAGGACGCACCACCACCACCGCCGCCACCACCTCCGCCACCACCAGCAAAGGGTAAACGCAAATCGACGGAACCTCCCAAACCTATAAAAGTATCGTCTGAGCCATTCCAGATGATTTTGGACTTGAAAGATAAGGTAATTCTATCTAATAGTACTATATATTTGCTTTTGTCAGCGACTTCGTCCGTGTTTTTGTCGACCACGAACATCGTAGAGGATACAACAAAACAACAAAACTGTAGGGCTCACCCCTACAACATTTATCATAGACACACAAAACAACATAAGCATAAACGTAATTACACTATCATAAAAATAGTTCCTAAGTGGGAATCGAACCCACGACCTCCGGCTTCACAGTCATTTATCACATTTATCTGAACACTAAAGGTTTGGAAATAGTCTTAACACTACTCAAGACATTCACGGCACTTATTATTTTTACATTATAGTGTTGTGTGATGTGGGTCGCTCCAGAACGATCGTATAGTACGTTAAGTCACTTGGTCCATGGCCCCCTTACAGCCTGCGCGTTCTTGTGTTGTTCTTGTGTTATTATATAAATAGTTTAAAGTGTTGTGAATGGACAGTTTATTTAAGTACGCATACTGCTCCACGTTACTATAAAACAAAATAAAATTTCATATTAATTTTAACCTCCATTTTTCACACCTAGGTGTGGATCTTTTAACAATCCTTTGTAAGTGCACACCTATGTCACCTAAAGAACATTTGTGCAGAATTTCATGCTTCTAAACCCAGCAGTTTCAGCTGTGCATTGATTGATAATATTAATAATATTGTACCACATTCACACAACGCCATCTAGTCCCAAACTAAGCAGAGCTTGTACTATGGCTACTAGACAACTGATATAAATACATATATACTTTTTTTTGTAAATACATACTTATTATACATAGAAACATCCAGACCAAATCAAACAGTGATCAGTCAGTGTATCAATCTGTCAGTTTCTTCTTTTATAGATAGGTATATTATGTAATATTATTAAAACGGTTTTTGTTTGTTGGGCGTTGACGCCTTGAGTAACCATACACTACCGTGGGAGATCTATACCACGGCGGTACCCACTTACCATCAGAGGCCCTAGTGTGAGTTTATTTCACATCAACTTGCTCTCGACGGCGAGCGCGTTCGACGTTGCGATTGGTGGTATTGGGCTAATCGCAACACTCATCGCGGTCGCCGTGACGATATTACTTACACCTTGTCCGTGTGGTCACCACTCCTATTCATCCCGTGGGTGTCGTAAGAGCCGACTAAGAGTAAAGTAACACAATATTTATCCTTGGTGGGAATCAAACCCATGACCTCTCGCTTAACCACTAGCACTAACCACCAGGCCGTGGCATAAGGACTTTAAATTAAAATAATTTAAGGTTTAAAAAATGACTGTCTATTCCTAACAGCTGTTGGTGGACGACTCGGGCAAGATTGCAGACCAGATAGTCACGAAAGCGGAGAATAAACAGGCGGCCATTGACGGGGTAAGTTTATTTAATTCTGTCACTGAAAGAACGTCAACGCATTTGTGCTGTTGCAGCTGTCCATGGACAGTGGTGGTCACTTACCATCAGGTGATATGTCTGCTAGTTTGCCCCCTCTTCCATAATAGGCTTTATATACAGGGTGTAAGGGAGGACGTAATGAATACTGAAATAGTGTATTCAGACCATCATTCTGAGTCGTAAATTATATATTCCAGTCGGCGACTAAGGGAGCGAAACACGCAGGACACCAGCACTGCAGAGAGAAGGAAAACTTGACACAAACCCTATACCAACCCGTCTGGCCAGCGTGGTATAGTAGGCCAAAACCTCCTTTCTAAGGAGAGGCCTATGTCCAGCAGTGGACTGTTAAAGGCTGTTGATGATGATGATGAGATTCGATTTATCTACAAGGCACTTCAGAGAATTCTAAAAAGTTTTCTCAGTAACCGTACACTATTTTGTATATTTAATTACAAATATACTAATCTAATTAAATAAACTTATCAATAATTGTTACAGAATACAGTATTTAAACAAAAATGCAGTTGTCATAGATTAGCCAAGTCTTTCGGCGCTCCAATTTGTGAGGAAGAGGTAAGTAATTAATTACATATAATGTTATATAAACACACACACACACACACACACACACACACACAAACACACACACACATACACGCATACACACGCGTCAAACCAAAGCCACATTACCGATGGGTGGGGCCCGTATGCCGTCTGTATAGAAAGGCCGACTCAAAACTATGGTCCATTCTTCAAAAGGCCAACCCAGACCCTATACTGTACTCGCATAATTATCTTTTACTGATAAAATAAAGGACACCTCTGTGGTTTGTTTCGGCGTTTTTCCTAGAGCGAGTCTTAGGCGCCTTATAGCTGTAAAGTGCGACTTGTAAAGATATCTAAAAAGATTACTTTACTTACAGCAATTAAAAATCTTTTCATCATGATCATTTTACGCATACACACGCGCACGTATACGCAACGTTCGTACGAACATGCACGCGTCACACGCCCAAACGCACTCTTATGCACTCATAAGACACTTCTTATCACGAAAAGTCGTATAAACACGCCTGTGTTTTTGAAGGGGTTTGCAGAGACGTATAAAACAACCACAATTAGCTCCAAGGCAGGGAGGGACTCCAAGGGCGGCTACGCACTTGTGACTTTTGAGTTGCAGGTGTCCATGGGCGGCGGTAGTTGCTTACCATTAGGTTTGGTAGTTGGTTACCTCGGCTCGTTTGCCCCCTTATACCATAAAAAAAATCTTTTTCCAACTTACGTATAAGTTAACTTAGGGTTTTTTGTAAATGGATGTATGATAAAAAAGAATTTGGTAGACTTCAAGAGATTTTTCAACACTTCGAGCAGACCCTGGTGACTCATTTTAACAAATAATACCTAAGTCTATAAGTCACGCTGGCTTTTCCTTAGAAGTACTAAGCCTAGCTGTTGGCAGTACCTTCTGATTACCCATCGATGACTCCTAGTAATCTAGACCTTTCTTCTCAGGCTCCTCCGCCCCCTCCACCCCCTCCTGAGGGGGCGACCGAGGAGGCTGCGGCGGAACCAGAAATTCCCAAGATCCCGTGTCCTGCCAAGATGACGATTCCGCATCATGTCATGTTCGGTACGTTTAACTAAATACCTCTTTTTAGAACTGTTAAATAGTCTTATATATGAGTTATTTTTAATTTTAAATACTAGTTTTCACCTTAATTTCTACTTGCTTGGGTCTGGTTCCCCATATGCATATGTCATTATTGATGTGAAACATCTACTGCGGAGGGTCAGACCGACTGTAGGCGTGGTGACGCGTCGCCACGGCATGCGTGTGTAACGCGGTGTAGCTGTATTTTTAATTGTGCTAATATTCATTATTTCCTCTCATAAGCTATCTTTTTAGACTCATTAATTCTATAAAATAATTTCGATTTTTTGATTTCACAGCTGCTAGACTGCCCGCGACGCCTCAAGTTATTTACGAATTTAAGTAATATTTTTATGAATAAGAAAAAAAACTATTTTCATATTTGATGTTAGAGGGAGGGAGGGTGGAGTATGATAAGTGACCTTTAATGAACTTGTTACGTTTTTTTTTGCAGACATCGTGTGTGACAATGCAGGTTACGAGTTGTTCGCTGATCTGTGTTTTGCGACATTCTTATTAGAACAGAAAATCGTGCAAATGGTAACGTTTACGATTCTTCTATTTTATTTTATCAAATAAGGCAAACTTAAAAGTAAAAACCATTTCGATGGTAATGTTTTTACATTCAAATAAAAAACGACTTTAGCTCCTACACAATAAAGTTCAACTCAGATCGTACAGTGTTAATTACTTACGTTATACGTACAGCTATGTTTAACTATTAGTTGCCTCTCTTTCTGTAGTGTAGCTCTTATCTCTTCTGACGACGTTAGTTTTATCTTCTAAGGTGTACTATTTTTTTGGGTTTAGTTTTTTTTTTTAAACAATTGTAAATAAAACTATGGTTCTAATACTTTTGTAAGTACATATAATTTTTATAATGCCATCTATACAAATAAATAAAATTGGAGTGTCTGTTTGTAATATTTTGTTGTTGTTCTGTTTTTACTAAATGCATATTATGTATGTTTACACGGTACATATGCCAAAATAACATTTTTACAATTTTTGTCTATCTGTTTGTTTGTTTGTTTGTTCCGGGTAATCTCTGGAACGGCATGACCGATTTCGACGGGACTTTCACTGGCAGATAGCTGATGGCATAAGGAGTAACTTAGGCTACTATTTTTAGACTAGCTTCGCCCCGCGGCGTTGCCCACGTTATAACAACAAACGCGGGTAACACCGCGGGTCTCAGCTAGTAAAGAATAAAAATAAAGACATGTAATAAAAAGAATAGTTAAAAACTATCAGAATACTAAAAACAGCAAAAATATTTAAGCGCAGCAACATACCACGGACTATTTAAACCATAACTTGGTGAGCTTTTGGTTACCTCAGCTTAGACTCAAAATAGGCGGTTGATAGGGGGGTCGCTAGGAGGGGTCCGGGTGCTTTAACAACAGCTGTTCCCGGATCCCTCCTGTTACAGGCGCAGAGTGGCACACCGTGTGGTTTTAGTCGGTCCGAGTCCGACACACCACCCCGCCGCAAACCCCGGTGGGGTGACGGTCCGAGGGGGTATCCACACGTAAAAAAATACTTTAGATAGTCCTTGATATTTTTCTTATAATTATTCAAATTATTCTTAAAAATGTCCAAATCCAATATTCTTTCCTACCAAGCATATTATATATTTTTGTATGATTCCAGGTCAGGTTCCACGTGAAGAAAATGCCCTGGTTTGTGTCCGATGTTACAATGGCTGACTTTAAGTAAGTCTTTGAATATTTAATTGTATAGTTTTCCAACTAATAATTAACTTTAACAAAAGGTCTTACCTATTCCAATTATATATATTTATGCCATAAGGGGGGCAAACGAGCAGACGGGTCACCTGATGGTAAGCAACTACCGCCGCTCATGGACACCTGCAACTCAAAAGTCACAAGTGCGTTGCCGCCCTTAGAGTCCCTCCTGCTCGAGTCTGCGGGAGGGGGGATTTGGGCTCAGGTAACCTCACTCACTCGGTGAAACCCAACTATAATAAACTGTATTCTTCATTACCTAATTTTCACCCTTAGCGCAAAAAAATTTTTACTAAATCGCAACATACCTTCACTCTGCATTCTCTATCACATATATCATGGAGAGTGCTCCAAGCAACTGTTCGGACTAATGCCATCCGCAACTTTCCGCCATCGTTCCACACGGCTAAATGTTCATCCTCATCACCTGCATAGTTGGCGCTCCACTACTGTGCGCTTTTCGATACACTTATTGCCGCACAACCAATCTGTGGAACGGGTTATCGTCGGACGGACGGACGGACGGACCGATACGACCTTCAAACCTTCAAGAAAAGAGCGTACTCCTTCCTAAAAGGCCAGCAACGCGTTTGTGACTCCGGAGTTGCAGACGTTCATCGGCGGCGATGGTCACTTTCCATCAGGTGACCCATCTGCTCGTCTGCCCCTCTAACATAAAGAAAAAAACGACGGGTTGCATTCCGTTAGTGCCGGCAGAAGTGAAAACTTGAATATTGACGTTGTGCATTTTTGATATTTTGGAATGGTTAGGGGATAATTTTATAAATACACACGAACATTCGCGCAAGCGCCCTGCGCCGCCTCAACGAAACAGCAGGCGCAGGCATACATTTTCGCCGCGCCGTAGAAAGAGAGGGGGATACTTCCTCTCCTACTCTCCGTCCGTCTTACGAATTTTCGATCAGGTCACGTGACCTGACGCGAGTTTAACATTTTTTACCCATTACAAAAAAGTGTACAACGCCGCTAAAGAAGTTTTCACTTCAAAAAAAAACATCGCTTCACAAACGTCTGTCAAGGGTTGTTGTTACATTCCATTACAGTACTTTCAAATACTTAAATAAAGCATTTAAAATGTACGCGACCAGCCGCCCCCATTACTGGATCCCTCGCCGTATCCATTTTGACTGCCTCCTTGGTGCAGTGGTAGCGTAGGTATACGACTGCTGTGCTGAGGTCTCGGGTTCGATTCCCGGGTCGTTGTCGTCCCCAAATGTTTGTATGATCTACAAATATTTGTTTCGGAGTTTGGGTGTTTTCTCTATATAATATGTATGTATTTTCAAAAAAATATTAAAGTATTTTATCAGTTAATCAAGTTTTCATAGCACAAGCTCTGCTTAATTTGAAACTAGATGGCGTTGTGTGTCAGATGTCAGAAATATTATTATTATTATTTACTTACCACATTTTACTTACCTCCTTTGAAAACATGGGAACGATTATATTTTGTTCATAAATATATTTAATTTTCAATCATTAATCTGTTGATGTTGCGATGTGTAATAATCACCAAAAGCATATGACGGGCCAGTCAGTCAGAGGTCGTGGGTTCGATTCCCACCAAGGACAAATATCGTGTGATGAGCACGATCATTTGTTCTGTGCCTTGGTGTAATTTATCTGTAATATGTATGTATTTATAAATATATAAGTATGTTTATCAGCAGTCTGGTTACCATAGTACAGGCTCTGCCTAGATGGCGATCAGACGGCCCTTTGTCAGATGTTTGAAGTTATTACTATTAAGGTCTAATGACCCACTAAGGGAGCAAACTACGCAGGACAACAGCATCGCAAAGTTGAACCATCATTTCTAAGGAGAGGCCTATGTCCAGCAGTGGAATGTTGATGAATATTGGTCTGAAGATAGTTTCTGTCCACAGGTACGTCATAGAAGCTGCTGGAACAGCAAGTTTTTCTTGTACCGTCCCTGGGCCGCCAGGACCCGGTAAGTTTTGATATAAAGAATTATCCCAGGACGTGTTACACAGAGCTATTGATGATCCTGTTCTGGCTACTGCTCTTGTCAGCTGAGTCAGTGGTTGTGGGTTCGATTCCTACTTAGTAGAAATAATTGTGACAGAAGCACGATCTTTTATCTGTATCTAGGCGACTGTGTGTACTCGACTGCAGTCCATGAAGACTCGGGTTCGATTCCAAGACCGGTTTTTTTATAGGGTTTTTCTGAGAGGAAAAGTAACCTAAGTTACTCCTTGTATAGACAGCCACTTGACTTAATATCCTAAGTCTCCGAGATAGGGCAAAGGGCGTCAGATAGCCACCTGGTAGAAAAAAAAATCGGTCTAGCCGTTTTGAAGCTTACCCGAAACAAACAGACAGACAGAGAAATATTGAACTGGTTTTTAGGCATAGGTATAGCATAGGTATGCAAATAACCGTGTGAGTGTTAAAACCTCACAGTCAAAAAGACATCTCGTATGGGAATCGAACCCATAACACTCTTCACTTGCCATGCAGTCGTAATATATATTTTTATATTTCAGAGGGTAATGTCGAGATGCAGACAATAACGGCGGACAATCTCAACTCACTAGGGAAACAGTGGTCGTCTTACTTGGATGGGGGGGAATTTGTCGTCATGGTGAGAATTATATTCTATATTGTACTTTACTGAAGACTATTCCAGCCTCCCTCCTCCCCTTCAGGGGGGCGGAGGTCGTCGTTTACCATCAGGTGAGCCGTCTACTCGTTTGCTGAACCATTGGTGGTAAGCAATTATCGACAACTTTTTTATTCCCAATATGGTGTTCTTATCCTTCGCTAAGGCGTGGCAGGTCTTTTCACATTAAAAACAGCACTCTTGATGCTGATAAACGGGCATCAAAATCAGCAACAGCCTTTACTAGTCCACTGCTGGACATAGGCCTCTCCTTAGAAAGGAGGTATTGGCCTACTACACCACTCTGGCCAGACGGGTTGGTATAGGGTTTGTGTCAAGTTTTCCTTCTCTCTGCAGTGCTGTTGTCCTGCGTAGTTTCCTCCCTTAGTCGCCTCTTACGACACCCACGGGATGAATAGGGGTGGTGACACTCTGTATTCTTAATCCGTCACCACACGGACGCAAAGTAGAAAATAAGACAAACTATAAAAGACAAGAATATCTTGTTTTTATATTGGTTATTTTCAGATTCTTCAAGCAAATTTATAAGGGTTATGAATATTGGAATAATATTAATTAATTTTTATTTTTTTATTACTAATATCATATCCATTCGCGTTAAAAAAAAAGTGACGCATCGATCAAGCCCCGGCCCTTGACCAATCAGGTTTTACGAAACTATCGTTTCCTACGAAAGCTTGGAACCTGGGCCTCAATTCTGCTGTTTTAATATTGTATCAATGGACTGTCGCCAGAATAGTTTTTTACTTTTCGTATTCTACTAACTATGTGAGACCAATGGATGATTGGTCACTGGTACAAATGTGTTTGTAATAGTTTGGTAAACAGTAGAATTTAAATTTGTAAGGAAATTATTATATTTAATTTGCTAGATATGGCAATGTTGTTAATATCGCCATTGATGACTCATTATCACTACACTACAGTCTATTGACACTGTGAATTTATGTTAGTAGAATACAGATATTTTGACCGGTGTCAGTGACATCTCAATAGCGTGTCAATGGGATGACAGTGGATTGTAAGTTAACTTAGAATACCAGAATTGAGACCCAGATTGGACAGGGTGTGGGGCTTAATTGAAATGTCACTATTTTCTTAACGCGAATGGAATAATATGTATGTATCTACAAAAAAAAAGTATATTATTTATTTATATCGGTTGTCTAGTACTAGACATATTCTCTGCCTAGTTTAGAACTAGATGTGGTAGACTATTATTATTATTTCTTTTTACTAATGTTCTAGGACGAGGACTACTGGACCTACCCCCACCCCTACTGTGAGATGAAGAAATACGACTACAATATGTACCGGAAGCTGCAGTATACTGTCGGTATATTGTTCAAAGGCGATCTCAACTACAGGAAGTTGCTCGCGGGAAGGAATGTCAACCCTTATTCTGGATTAGAACCTAACTTACAAGGTATTGTTATTTTACTGTTGTGTTGGGGAAAATAGAGAGGGCGTTGGCATCGCTTATACGACTTCCTCATACAATATTCTTGCACGGATGGTAGCTCAAGCGGTCACCTCACAGCTTTCTACATTCTGGGTTCGATTCCCCCATGGGACCACACTTTGTGTAATACACAAATTGTTGTTCCAAGTATGGGTTTTCTTTGTACCCCGCGACACGGGATATCTAGTGCGGGCATGGTCTTTTCTAAAAAAAAAATATTTTGGCTATGGACTAGTGTTTACCATTTATAAACTCTTAAAAAAGTCTCTTCTTCCTTGCCTTTTTTTAACAGCAAAATAAACTACCATAAAATATGTATTGTTTTTATTCTGTATTTTCTACAAGTCTTATATTTTTACAAGATTATAAAAAAAATATGTGCCAAGTAAAAGTTATAAGTAACAACTCTTGCTCATTTTAATCAGTGTCAAGGTTATTACTCAACACCTTCAACCCTGTTTCTGAAGAAGGGTGGGCGGGGTAGCACACTTGTCTTTTCAGAATTACAGGTGTGTTGGTGAGATTTCACCTCGTGGTGGCCATGGGAGTGGGAGTCCTCTCGCTCGGTAGTATGATTGCCGCCATGGTACAGCCCGCCAGACCCGGGAACGGGCCAGGTACCGCAGACCTGGGGGTGACAGGTGAGGCCATCTGTCACCCTAGCAGAAGCAGGCCGGGGTGGCGGCGAGCGTTGCGGAGCGCGCGTGCCCTTTGAGAGCACCAAGGGAACATGGGGGTTCCCACACATGAGGGGTTTCATAAATCCACCGTAGATGCCCCGAGGTACGTCGGGGTACCAGGGATTTTCTTTCTGGTTCCCCGGCTACTGGTACCCGAGACGGCGTGTGGTTTTTAGTCGATTCGAGTCCGACATAGCCACCGATGATATCCGCACAGAAAAAAAAAACAAAACAAATAAAGGGTGAGATTTCAATCAGAGGTTTTTAACACTAAACTATTTATATTGATGTTGTTCGCAGGCTTTATTCCAGCACCCATAATAGCTGTGCGAACTGTTAAATCTGAAATGATCTGTGGTCTATCCAAAGGCAAGTTCGATGTGTTGAATAAACAGGACCCGAACTGGATGCGGTCAGGAGACTATGGGTTAGTATGTTAATATTAACCTCACACATCTCAACTATCCCAAACTAGGCAGAGCCTGTACTATGGTAATCAGACTACTGATAAACATACTTATATGTTACTAAATACATACATATTATAGATAAATTACACTCAAACACAACAAATGATCGTACTCATCACACAGTTATTTGTCCTGGGTAGGAATCGAACCCACTACCTCCGGTTTAGCAGTCAGGGTCACTAACCACTAAAACCAATTGTATAATTAATATAAACTCGCATTTCCACAGCACTAATGTAGAATGCGGTATCATTACTTTAAAAAAATCTAGGAAATAAAAATATATAGAAAACTAGCTGACCCCGCAAACGTTGTTTTGCCAAATACATTATTTCAAAAAAAATTGTCAAAAGCAAAAAAATATTTATTTAACAAGCCATGTCACCCTCGCGTACAGTTTTGCTTTGAAAAATAACATTTTTTATTGCTTATAGGACATGTAATTATAGTATCAAACATGATTTTTTGCACAAAAAAAAATTCTATTCTTAAAATTGTTTTTTTTTTGTTTTTTTAGGTTTTATTTTTTAATTCCTTTATGTGGAAGAATTGGGATCCTATTTTTGCCATGGTTAAAATATGCAACACAAAAAAAGAAATCAAGTCCAAATTCCATAGTATTTAGAAACTACAACCTTCTAAAGTTTTTTAAGATAATTTTGGTTTTGTAACTGGTCAAATTCTAGACGGGTTGGTATAGGGTTTGTGTCAAGTTTTCCTTCTCTTTGCAGTGGAAAGAAATCTATTGGTTTGGATTTTAAATTCGGTATTGCTGGACATAGGCCACTCCTTAGAAAGGAAGTTTTGGCCGACTATATCACGCTGGTCAAACGGGTTATTATAGGGTTTGTGTCAAGTTTTCCTTCTCTTTGCAGTACTGTTGTCCTGCGTAGTTTGCTCCCTTAGTCGGCTCTTACGATGGTGATGAATGGGAGCGGTGACACTCAGTATTCTTAATCCGTCAGCACACGGAACACAGAGTTAATGCTGGCATTATGTAGTTTGACGTCTGTCCGTCTGTCCATAATAAAAAATAAGTAATTGTACCTTTCTGTAATTAACGGTTCACGGTGAAAGTTTTTGAAATTTAATTTCTTTTTTCGGTAAATCAAAGATGTTTTCGTGTACCACTAGCTTTTTTTTTTGTTTCTTTATTAAGCTTGTTTTCTAATGATGTTCTGGATATATTCCAGTGTGATCCAGTACTGCCCTAAGGCCGAACCGCTTAAGGTGGCGGACAGGCCGTGTCTCGACTACTGCAGCACGTGCTTCGGAGTCATCTGTCCAGAGCATGACACAGACATGTAGTACATGGTAAACAATTTTTTTACTATCGATAATAATAATATTATAAATGCGTATGTGTATATCTGTTAATTCTTCATGTTTAAAGCTCTGAACCGATTTAGTTGAAATTTCGTATAGAGATAGTTTGAGTCCCGGGAAAGGACATAGGATAGTTTTTATCCCAGAAATCGTCGTTTGAGGGGGATGGAAGATTGTATGGGCAATCAATAACCGCTGAACCAATATACACGCGCGCGGGGACGCGGGCAAAAGTTAGTGCGTTAATAACATAGAAATACGTCTAGATTACTGTTTATTATTATTAAAAATATATTTGTTGACCCTGAAAGTTCAAATGTCTAGTCAAAAGTAAGGGTTTTATAATTGAAATATTCTCTAAATATTACTAGTCCACTGTTGGACATAGGCCTCTCCTTAGAAGGAGGTTTTGGCCTACTACACCACGCTGGCCAGACGGGTTGGTATAGGGTTTGTGTCAAGTTTTCCTTCTCTCTGCAGTGCTGGTGTCCTGCGTGTTTCGCTCCCTTAGTCGCCGACTGGAATATATAATTTACGACTCAGAATGATGGTCTGAATACACTATTTCAGTATTCATTACGTCCTCCCTTACACCCTGTATATAAAGCCTATTATGGAAGAGGGGGCAAACTAGCAGACACACCTGATGGTAAGTGACCACCACTGTCCATTGACAGCTGCAACAGCACAAATGCGTGGACGTTCTTTCAGTGACAGAATTAAATAAAACCGGAGGGGTGACGGTCCGAGGGGATTTCCACACGTTAAAAAAAAAAAAAACTATCGGCTCTTACGACACCCACGGGATGAATTGGGGTGGTGACACTGTATTCTTAATCCGTCACTACACGGACCGATAATATATTTAAATGTAATAATCCTCACAGTACTTACATATTATGTCAGTACCGTAGTATCTACACAGATACATTGACTAATGTTTTTTTTTCTTTCCAGTACATACCAAAAACCGTTTATTGCCGTGACGTTCACCAAAAGATCACTTTCAATTTTTTTCGGCGCACTCAATTAAATTCACTCTACTAAAATAAAATGTAAAACCTATCGATTTTATTTATAAATAAACTTGTTTTTGTTATACTTGTTTGTGTTTTATTGATTCTGGCAACCCTGTGATGAACAGCTGATTGGTATCGTTCCCAATTTTAAATTACTTCTATAAAATGTGTCAGTGATGATTTAGTTGGTGATGGAATATTGGACAGTTAAAAGCTGTAATTACTAAAATGATTTAAAGTTTGATTGTTTTTTTTTTTTATTATTTTCATTATAAGATTAGAGCTGTATATTATATCTGATATATTTTACGATATTGTACGATATATGATATGTACCAATTCTCCTTGATATTAATTATAAAACTTCTTGCATCTTTTTTTTCATCATAAATAAACCCCCAAACTCATAAGACTTGGCTCGTCAAATGAACTCCAATTGAGTTTGGGTAAATTTAATACACTCAAAGAGAAAACTAACTCATTGGGGAAAGTTAAAACCAATTAACTAGTTATTACTCGAATTCTTCTTACAAGGCTCGACTATTTGGAAACGGGGCGGTTATAGATTGACAGGCGGACAGTTATGTCGGTTTTCTTTTTGTTTCATAAAATTGACAATGACCAATGTAAAATCTAATTTTAATTTGAAAAGATTTAACGTATTTTAACAACTATAATAATTTAATTTGAAACCACACTTGACTGTAGATATTGCGCAAGACTAGCAACTAACTACCAGAAGTGTGTGTAATAATTTATAGATCAGGATATAACCATATCTGATGAGGTCAAGAGTAGGGAGGGAAAGTAATACTAGGTATGATGTGGGCCGATCCCGGCGGCACTGCAATGCCGGGCCGACCCGTGACGGGAGTGGAGCGAGCCCCGAACATCCCGTCAGCTTACAAAAATCAGTTTAATATACTGGTCCCTCAGTGAGGGAACTTTCAGATATTAAGCTGAAAAGAACAGATACTACACTTTGATCTTAGCCAAAAGGCCGAGAAGCGATAACTAAACTAGGTTCAACGGGGGAAGTCATTCCCTTGCCGAGAATCTTAACATCGCAATACATAGATGACGTCATATGTACAGTGACATCTGTTGAGTTACATGATGAACTAAAAAGCACATGCTGAAGTCACCACCCCTCGGTGAATTACACAGACACCTGCCCTCCTTCTTACTGATACATTTAATAACAATAATAGAATAGTTATGTTCAGATGAAAACTATAACATTGCCCGATATAACAGTGTCCTTACTTTTTTTTTACACCACGATCATTGAAAGTGATAGTAAAAATCTCTTAAAATTTTAGGTTTTTTTTTTTATTTATTTATGTGTAAAAACTAGAGGCATTCTGAGATTTTAAGGGGGGATTTTTTTTAATGATTAGGACAATATATATCTATCAGGTTGCCTATCAAAATGTGCTAGTATTTTTAATTAAATTATTGTTAATTTTTTGGAAAATTTTCATTAGCTTGTTTTTATTTTAAATAAAATATCGTCCACTTCACGGCATTATATATAAAGACTGAAAAATCACGGTTGCCGGTGCGCACTTGGCCACACTTCTTCGCAGCCAGGTATAAACAGGAATGATTTTGACACCTGTTTACACCTGGACACCTCAAATTAAAGCTATTTTTTTTTCAGTTTATTATGAAATACGGTACGGTACGATAACATCACTAGTCAGACAAGGATAGCTCTCTTTTACTGTACCTTAAATATTTACCATCTTTACCAGCCAGCAACCCTACTTCTTCACTTTTCGTCGATCACAAAAAGCGTGGTCTGGTGTATGGTCAGATATGACAATCGAACAAACTTTAAATCGTTATTTTGGGAATGATTTAAAGCATGGAAGAGGTGGCACACCTAGTGTTGTGACTCGATATTTGTCAAGTATGCCTGCTGCTTTTAGTATCATGAGTAGTTTAGAACAATATTGTAATATCACGACCTCGACAAGTGAACAACATGTAGACATCACATCAAGTCGAATAGATCGTGATGATGCTGATTTCAAAAAATTTTTGTATTGACTGGATCAACGCAATCCATTTATACCACGTGATCACTTGATTTCATTATCAACTGGAGTTATTGGAGGTTTTGATATAAATTGTCATAATGCGTTTGAGAAAGGGGAAGAAGGGATAGTCGATGTTAGGAAAAACAGTTGACGAGGTGTGAGCTAATGTTTTCACTCTATAGAGTTCAAAACTCTATAAAGTGAAAACATTAGCTGCTGCTAAAAAAGGAATGATCAATCATACTAATTTCACTGCAGTTGAGTCATCAGTATTGTTTAAAAGAATTGCGGTAGTTGTCATTGGAGTACGAATTAGCACCGTTTCCTATGTCATTGTTTGATAAAAATGGGTACATGAGGAAAAGTAATAAAGCTGATTAATTTTGACGACTGGATGGCGTAGTGGTTTGTGTAACGGACTGCTATTCCAAAGGTCGCGGGTTCGATTCCCGCTCAAGTCAAACATTTGATGTTTGATTTGGTCTGGGTGTTTCTATGTATAATATGTGTGTATTTACAAAAAAAAGTATATATGTATTTATATCAGTTGTCTAGTACCCATAGTACTAGCTCTGCTTAGTTTGGGACTAGATGGCGTTGTGTGTATGTGGTAGAATTTATTATTATTATTATTATATAAAATATTTACGCCATTCATCAAATCAACAATATTTCTAGATAATGCATATTACGTTATTGATGGAGGCTGGCTACTACATCGAGTTCACTGGAATAATAAAGATAGTTTCTGAGTTATCTGTCAAAAATATTTTTCATACATTAAAAAACATTTTCCAGCCGCCACAGTAGTTTTTGATGGGCACAGTAATGAAATAGTTGCAGTAAAGACGTATGAAAGACTAAGATTATTATATGAAAAAAGGAATAAATAAATAAAAAAATGCCCGAAACATATTAAATAAATCCCAATGAAGCATGTAGAATCGTTTTAAAATGAAAAAAAATTTATTAACAATATATAATTATAATTTTTTAATTTTGCACCTTTAAATGCATTTTGTGCAAAAACTATGGGAGATCCGCGAAAATACGTTGATACCTTTTTCGTAGGTAATTTGATTGTCTACAACTTTGTGATAGGACTTTTTTCTATTTTCCCAGCCAGTCGCGAGATATTGACGAAAAAGTCGTTTTTGCACCATTTTGCAATTATTTTGCACCCTTTGCCGTCAGTGCAGCACCCTGCAATTTTAGTATATTAATCTGCGAACCTTTACGGTAATTTTCGCGTTGGTTACAGGTCATCAACTCAAAATTGCAAAGTTAAGCTTTCATTGACTGGACTTATAGGGGAGAATAAATTGAACGTATTTTACTCGTCCATTTAGTTAAACGTTCTACAAGTAGTTAAATTTACTTCTTACTAATTCTTTCAACCGAATGTGATAACGGGATTAGAGAGGAAGAGTAATTCCAGGTATAATGTGGGCCGATCCCGGCGGCACTGCAATGCCGGGCCGACCCGTGACGGGAGTGGAGCGAGCCCCGAACATCCCGTCAGCTTACAAAAATCAGTTTAATATAGTCTTGGGTACACGTACGATGTACTGATAGGTACTAGTACTGGGTATTGTACTAAAAGTAATGTTTCCGAAAGGCAGCCACAAGAAAGACACTGTCAACTTCAAGCCAGTACTAAAACTATCTATTGTTTACTCTGTCTACTAGTGTCTACGTTCGTTCGCTGTGCGACGTACTAGTAATGCTCCGCTTTATTGTTCCGTATTGGTAAACAGTGTGAGAGTAAAAGGGACAGCGATACAGGATGTACTACAATACGTTAGATTGTAAAGTATGAAGGAAAATCAAATAGTATTCTTAAAAATTTAGTGTAAAGTAATCTAAAAAATCGTATTTAAGAGTCAAACTGTTAAGGTTTATGGGATTCAGAAAGGGA